GTTATAGTCACTGTTGCTGTTTTTATTCCAATAAATGTGAACTTTATTCTAATTCTATAATGATGTGCCTAGATACGTTTTGTTCCTGAAGATTCCCTGTCCACAGAGGGCACGATGAACTTCTTAATTGTCCCAATGCAGCCACAGTATGCACATAGCAGAAAAAATCAGAAGCAAGAATTTCATGCCAGCATTTGTAATTAAGTCCATCTATTGCAATTGTGACTAAATATTAGCTGGTTTTTAAAATAAGTTGTCTGAACTACGTAGGTAAGATTACAGTTCCATGGGCTCCTGGGTGGCTCAGTTGGTTAAGCAACTGCCTTCGGCTCAGGTCATGATCCCGGAGTCCTGGGATCAAGTCCCACATCGGGCTCCCGACTCAGCGGGGAGCCTGCTTCTCCCTCTGACCCTCTCCCCTCTCATGCTGTTTCTCTGTCTCTCTCTCTTTCTCTCAAATAAATAAATAAAATCTTAAAAAAAATAATAATAAAATAATAAAATAAAAAATAAATAAAAAAATTTAAATAAAAAAATAAAAGATTACAGTTCCATATGTTGTTAAGAAAGGCAACTTGAGTTTGGTTTTGAAGTGGACACTCACATTGTTCTTGGGAAGTTTTCAGCAGATTGTCTGTAGACTTAAAGAAATTGGCATGTTTTATTTCCACCTCGAAGGAAAGAAAAACATATTTTTTTAATTCTAGAATTATTGTTAAAATTAGGTTCTAAGAAGTTTCTGAGGATATTTTACTCAGAAAATGTAGGATATGTGTGGTAGGAATAAAGAGCTACTAGGTGATAAAAATCTAAAAGCTACTATAGAGATGATATTCAAAGATTTTTTCCAGCTCCAATCACCCATTAGTAATTTTTAAGAGGGCAGGCGGTGCTGTAGGGGAGTGAATATACCTGTGGTTGGAAAGTGTTCATCCCATTAATATGCAAATTTTACTAATGATGTTAGTAAATAATCTCTTCAGAAGATGAGTTGAAGTAATTATAGAAAACATCTTCATTTGTTCATTATTAGGTTAGATCTTATAAATCTTTCAAAGGCCAAATGAGTTAAACAAGGAAATTTTTCATATGTTCAACCTTATATTTTCCTCTTTCCATTTATCATTATGTATATCCTTGCTACGTGTCAGATTTGATGTGGGTTTAAAATAAAAGACATATTATGGGGCGCCTGGGTGGCTCAGTTGATTAAGCAGCTGCCTTGGGCCCAGGTCATGATCCCAGTGTCCTGAGATTGCCCTGCATGGGCCCCCCTCCTCCCTGCTCAGCAGGGAGCCTGCTTCTCCTTCCGCCTCTGCCCCTCCCCCTGCTCATGCTCTCTCTCTCTCTCTCTCTCTCTCTCTCTCGCTCTTGTTCTCGCTCTTGCTCTCGCTCTCAAATAAATAAAAAAATAAATAAATAAAAATCTTTTTAAAAAGAGACAGATATAATAAGTCTATTAGCACAAACGACAAAAGAACAAAGGTTATGTAACAATATGGAAAGGATAATTGTTAAAAAAAAAAAAAAAAGAAAGAAAGGATAATTGTTTTGAAATTTTAGCCTAAGGATAACTATCACAATTCAACAGAAAATTTAACTCAGAATTTTCTAGAAGCCAAAACAAAACTGGAACAAAAATTACATAGCTCTTACCATTAGAAATACATAGATATTCACAGATGAAAGTCAAACTTCTCCTAGCTATTAAAAGAAATATATCAAGTGAGCTTTTATATTAGAGGTATTTCTAAAGTTGACGCCTAATATTTATGTAATGTTACACAGTTTATAAATCTTTCTCTTATGAGTGATTTGATTGAAATTAATTTATCAGTTGGAATATTGAAGAGATCTTGGAGGGAACTGGAAGTAGTGCATCTTCACTATTGGATGAGAAAAGGAATACTTCTCCTAAGGAACACTTTTCCTCTTGGCATCCTCTGATTTCATGTACTCACCAAGCTAACTTGGTTTCTAAAGTATGGTACCATCCTAAAAGTTATTTTATATTGTGAACTATCAATATTTTCAGATAAAAATTAAACTACTGTGGGGCACTTGGGTGGCTCAGTTGGTTAAATATCTGACTTCAGCTCAGGTCATGATCTCAGATCCTGGGATTGAGCCCTGAGTTGGGCTCTCTGCTCAGCTGGGAATCTCCTTCACCCTCTCCCACTGCCCCTCCCCCCACCCCTACTTTCTCTCTCTCTCTCTCTCTCAAATAAATAAATAAAAAATTAAACTGATGTGCATTAGGCCAGTTAAGCTGAGGGAGGTGGGTGTTCTTCAAGAATCTGGACAAACTGACACCAAATTTCCAGATTTGTTGACTTAGGAGACCAAACTTGGGAATGCAAGAAGGTAAAAGAAAACAGGAATTTTTTTGAATAGATTACTTCTCTTAGACATTTCCCCACCCCATTACAATTTCAATATCCGGTTAAAGAGAATGAGTTCTCTCTTTTTCCCCACCTTTATTGAGATATAATTGACATATAACATTGTGTAACATTGTATAACTTGAAGGTGAACAACGTGTTGATTTGATACACTTCTGTATTGCAAAATGATTACCACCATAGCATTCTTTTTTTTTTTTTTCCACCATAGCATTCTAACACTTGCATCATGTTACATAACTACCATTTCTTTTTTGTGATGAGAACATTTAAGATTTACTCCTTGGCAACTTTGTGCTTGAGAAGACTATGTATTAGGCTGCTGGTGAATGGAATGTTCTCTAAATGTTCTTTTCATCTGGTCTAACATGTAGTTTAAGGCCAATGCTTCCTTACTGGTTTTCTGTCTAGAGGATCTATCCATTGTTGAAAGTGAGGTATTGAAGTCCCCTACTATTATTGTATTGCCATCTATTTCTCGCTTCAGTTCTGTTAGTATTTGCTTTATATATTTAGGGTTCCTAAAAAGAACGCTTTCTAGTGTTAATAAAAGACTTCTATAAAACCAGCAGTGTTCTCAGTGTGCTTAAATCATTGACCTCTATAAATATTTAGTTAGAAAAGTAAAACACATTCATAGTTCTTACATTTTAATCCCTTTGGCTTATTAACTCAACAACACAGGGTTTTTTGATGTTTAAATAAGAAATCTTGAAAAAACAGCCAACCACTGAACAAGATACATGGGAAACTCATTAGGGAGCTCACTTTTCTTTGGGTCAACAAGGGAAGTTATAATATATTTGTTCTAACATGATGAAGGGTTCAAAGTGTCTAAAGTAACAAAGTCTTTAGGTTTAAACACTAGAAATATTTCTTTTCCATCATGGTCAAAAATATTTCCAAAGTTTTCTTTGTAAGAGCAAACGATTGACCAAAATTTACAAATATATGTAATTGATTTATATATTTACAAATACATGTAATATACATATAAACCTGGGCAATATCCACCTAGTAATACTCATTTGCATCTCTACCTGACAAAATTCATTTGCATCTCTATGAGTGAAAATCATTTGCGTTACTACCAGTTTTCTGCAATTTACAAAGTTGCAGAATAGCTGAAAACAACAAAAGAGGGGACACCTAAGCAATGCCCAGCATTCCAGTGAAAGGACACCCAGTAATTCTTTTCCCGTTTCAAAATCTTTCACATTTGTCCCCTGAGAATTTTCATTCCAAAATAAAAGTTTTAACAACATCTCCATGGGTTATTTCTCAACAAAAACTAGTGACAATAAAAATATTCCCAGCTCCAGATACCTATTTCTCTTCCCTTCACCATTACTAAATTTAGGTTATGTTTTAAGAGTTTTGTTCACTTAAAATTTAAATTTGGTGGAGTAATTTAAGTGTTAGGGTTATCAGTTTTAAAAAGGATCATATTTGGATTCAGCATCACCAGAAAGCAATTTATAATTATTCTATTGATAGCTTAAGATCATGAACAAATCCGTACCTTCTTCCAGTAGTTTTCAAAAGGCAGAAAAGAAGCATGGCGAAGACTAGTGTAAGGTAAAATTAGTCTTTTTCTACTAATCACTCTATTATAGGCCTATTCCTTCCTAGTCTTCTGACTTCAAGGGTATTTTGCAAGATTGAGTATGTCTCAGCTCCAATAATCCCGACAATATTGGCAAAATTTTTCTCCCGTCAGGAATCTGAAGCTTCACAGAGTTCTTCAAATTGTATCTAATTTAAGTATAAGACACACATAAGTCTATGTCCAAAGTAGCCAAATCTGATTATGAGTAGGGGAGCTTCAGGGATTTCAAAGATCATCTAATTTGACAATTCCATTATAAAGCAAATCCCTCCTGATTAATTTGGCTGGTGTGGTATTACAAAAAAGGAAAGCATATTTCTGAGTCAAAGGACCAAGGGGACCAGTTGTTGGCTGGGTGACAAAAGTATCTGAGGGCTGGGATGCCTACCAAGTGGATTGGTTGTCGTCTTTGAGAAGAAAGGGATGGATATAGTGGTAGAGTTTACTATCAAAAGTATAGCACCTATAAGAAAAGTGCAATTTGGGGGGGTGCCTAGGTGGCTCAGTGGAATAAACGTCTGCCTTCGGCTCAGGTCATGATCTCGGGGTTCTGGGATTGAGCCCCGCAGCAGGCTCCCTGCTCAGCGGGGAGCCTGCTTCTCCCTCTCCCTCTGCTCCCCCCCCCCAGTACAAGCTCTCTCTCTCAAATAAATAAGTAAAATCTAAAAAAATAGAAAGACAAAAGAGAAGTGCAATTTGGGATGCTAAAAGTAAATGACAATTCTCCTCGTGAGTTTATGGGAAAAAATTGTATTAGTTGGAGTTCTCCAGAGCGACAGAACTATTTAGATATACATATCCTAGAGAGAGTAATAGGAATTGGCTCATGCAATTATGGTGGCTGAACAGTCTCATGATCTCTTGTCTGCAAGCTGACATATTAATGTAAAATGTCTCTCTCAGATATCAATACTATTACACTATTTCTTTTAACACAGAGCAGTATTGAAGCAAGGAAAGACAAAGATGCAAAAAAAAAAAGCTTAATATTTAAAAATATTTATTGTTTTGTGTCTGAGAAGATGTAAAATACCTGAATATCTTAAATAAAATTAATCTCAAACGCATCGTCTGAAACAGATAGAAGGCAGATGGCCCTGAATCTAGAGGAAAGTTTAATGAAACACTGAGTGCTCAGAAACCAGGACTCAAGCTGTGAAATTTCTTTTTCTTCTGTCCCTTTCAACTGTCTCTCTGGCGTCCCAGCTCTCTGCACTTGAGCAACTCCTTCACTGCTCTCCATTGTCAAGGATCCTCACCTTCTTCCCTCTGAAAAAGGAGGCAACACAGAGAAGAGGGTGGGCAGGGCTGGCTTTGAAGGCAATTTGAGGAAGAAGAAAAGGCCTGTTCTCTATAAAAGATTATTATTAGAATCACCCTTTGGGGATAAAACTTTGTCTCTGAAGAGTTCCTATAAAAAATATATAAGCATGTTTCTTGAAAAGCATAACATACCAACCTATTGCACATAACAAGGACAATTTTACTAGTCTCTTTTACTGTTAACTTAGAAATTGTGGTGGCTAATTTTATGTATCAACTTGATTAGACCATGAGGTACCCACATATTCCATCAAATATTATTCTGGGTGACTCTGTGAGGATGTTTTTAGATGAAATTAACATTTTTAAAAAAGATTTTATTTATTTATCTATTTAGAGAGTGTGTGTGCAAGAACAGGAGGGGCAGAGGGAAAGGGAGAGAGAATCTCAAGTAGACTCCCCGCTAAGCATGGAGCCTGATGTGGGGCTCGATCTCAGAACCCTGAGATCACAACCTGAGTGGAAACCAAGAGTCAGATGCTTAGCCAACTGAGCCACCCAGGCACCCGGGATTGAACTTAACATTTAAATTGACAGATTGAATGAAAGATTGCTCTCCCCAGTAGAGGTTGGCCTTATCCAATCAGTTGAAGGCTTGGATAAAACCAGAAGGTTGACCCTCCCCGTGAATAAGAGGGAATTCCTCCTGCCTAACTGCCTCAGACTCAAACAATCAGTTCTTCCTGGGTCTCAAGGCCGGGAGCCTTTGTATTGGAACTCCATCATTGGCTCTCCTAGGTCTCCAGCTTTCCTGGGGCTTGTCAGTCTCCATGGTCCAGTGAGCCAATTCCTTATTATATATAAAACATACGTTTTATTGGTTTTGTTTCTCTGGAGAGCCGTAATATAGAAATCTAGAAGATTATGGAATTAATTTCACACACACCAACCTAGAGCAGGTTTGGTCATCTGGCCCAGTCCACTGAACATTTTAGCACAGATTATGCCCACAGTATAAGTGTATGAGTCTGACGGGAAAGAAAGAGGAGTGGCTCTAGTGTAAATTGCCTGGCAGGAGTAAGGTCCTGTGCGTGGAGAGAGACTCAGCCCAAGGAAGAGCTAACGCTACCAGAGTGTACAATGATTTTGATGAAAGGATGAAAACATTCATGCTCCAAATTTTCCATTTCATTTCTCATTAACTAAATTTTAGGTCACCAAAAATGAACCGAAAATGGATACAATGTTGCCTGTCTTGGAACATTTTTGTTCCAGACGAATGTGTCCCTTTGAGTGAGTGGTCAACTATCCAAATATTTTGCCTGAAATTTTCCAAAACAAAAAACAAAACCCAAATATTTGGCCTGAAATCCTTTTGTTTGGGATAAATTTGGTCAATAAAAAGCCAAATCAATGGTAAATTAGGCATTTTAATTTCTCCTAATTGGATGTGTCGAATTCCACGTAACTAAATACAGTAACATTTAGCAATGCTAAATTTCAAGGAGCTTGAGAGTTAAGAGATTTGCAATCTTCAAGATAAATCAAGTAATCGAGCACCTGGGGATATCTAATTCGTTTACATATAATAATTAGCACTTTAAAATACAAAATCATTAGACCGGGAAGCTTAGGAGCCAAGGCAGAGCACTTACGCAACTCTTTCAGTATTGTTAGCAGAAACAGTTGAAATACGTTCGGTGCCCAGAAATTAATCATCAGACCCAAGTGATCCACTTGAAAGAGAAGGAGGAGGAATTTGCTCTGCATCTCCCGATCATCTCAAGAGTTTAAGAAGAAACTAAAATGAGAAGCAATGTTTCAGAAGTCAATTCACTGCCCAGACCCAAACCCCAAATCGAACCTGGGACTTTTCTTAAGTGCGAGCAGAGCAAAGGGCGGTAAAGGCAAACAGCCCGGGGCGCCCCCTGAACAAACTGCGCGGGGCGGGCAGGAAGCCCCCGGCCAGGAGACCCTTTCTCTTGGTTTCGGGAAGGTGCTTCGGGCAGCTCCGTTTGCCCCCCCCTCCCCGGCTCCCCCCGCCCACGGGGAGGCTGCGAGCGCGGGGCGCAGGCCGGCGGGGCACAGCAAGGCCCGGGGACGAGGCGCGGACAGGGCGCCGGGCAGGAGAGCGTGTCGCCGGGCGCCGCCGCCGCTGTTGTCCGGGGTCCTGAAAGCCGGGAACTTCCCGGGACGCAGCGGCCACTTTTCTCCGTGTCGGAGCGGGGGGTGTGGGGGTTTCAGGGAGCGCACCTGCTAGGCCCGCCCTGGCCCTGGGCCCGGAGGTGCGGGCAGATGCGGCCCTCCCAGCCCCCTGGGTGGGGGTGCGTGATTGGGGGGCGGCGGTGAGCACGGCCGGGAGCGCCAGGCAGGACCCCGCTGGCCCTTCTCCGCCTCTCGGGCAGCCCCGCGCCGCGCCCGCGCTCCACCTGCGCGCGAACTCCGGCGGCCGGGGACGCGGGCGCCGGGCGCTGAGTGCGGCGGCGAGCGGGGCGGGAGCGGAGGGTGCTGGGGGGGGGGCGGCCCTCGTCCGGGGATGGAGGGGGGCGGGTGGAGGCGAGAGCGAGCGGGGCATGCGCAGTGGGGCGGAGGAGGTGGCGATGGCCGGGGGAGGCGGGGGACTGCTGTTTATTTGCAGCTGGGCCAACTCGGCGGCGCAGGCGGAGCGCGGGGCGCCAGCGGCGGGTCCAGCTGCCGCCGCACCATGCCAGAGCCCACCTCCGGGCAGCCGCGGCGCGCCGCCGGGGCCCCGGCCGGCGAGGATGCCAGACGCCCGGGAGCGGCCAGGGCAGCGGTGGCGGCGGCGGCACGATGGTGGTGACAGGCTCTGCCCGAGGCGGCGGCGGGGACCGCGCGCCCTCCCGGCGGCGGGGCTGCGGACTGGCGCCGGCCGGGGCCGCGGCGCTGCTGGCCGGGGCGAGCTGCCTGTGCTACGGCCGCTCCCTGCAGGGCGAGTTCGTGCACGACGACGTGTGGGCGATCGTGAACAACCCCGACGTGCGGCCCGGAGCCGCGCTCCGCTGGGGCATCTTCACCAACGACTTCTGGGGCAAGGGCATGGCCGAGAACACCAGCCACAAGTCCTACCGGCCGCTCTGCGTCCTCACCTTCAAATGCGCGGGCGCACGGAGAAGTTGCGAGACTGGCATGAGGAGCGTTTCTATTTCTTGCTGCCTCGTCCCCTCCACGCCTCCCTCCTCTCCCAGCTGTGCTCCCTGGTCCTCTGCCCCGCTTCTCTGAGCTCCTGGGGTGGCTGGGGAGGTGGGCCTGGGGTGTTAGGATAGTTTCCCCAAATGTCTGTGATCCCGGTGGACTGTTCTTTCTGGATAGAGCTGGGAGCAGGCTGAAGGAGCCTCATCATCACTTGCTGTCACCCTGGTCCCCTACCCTCCCCGTCGCCATGACCAAATGAACTAGCCCTAGTACAGCCCGCTCCAGAGGGATGTGCGGAAGGGGCCAGGGTGAGGGGCACGCTGCTCTCAGTATGGTTAATTTCTTAGAGTCTTGTGGAACTTTACAGATGGGGGCTCTGTGTGAACCTCTTTGGAGTCGCGTTCTATCCCAGGAGGTAGCTGGGATCTGACAACTTCCTGGGTTTGGGGGAGAAGCAGAGATGTCAAAAACTGTAAACTCTGAGACTTTACCCTTCTTCCAAGCAATTACCTTGCCATATTTCATACATGCTGGCAGAAGACAGAAGAAGCCTGGGTCAGACAAAAAGTAGTTTATCACTTTATTACTCAGGACAGAACAGTCAGCTTGAGCCACCTGCTCAGTGGCTTCCCCTTGCCCCCCGGGTCCATGGGGGTGATGCAGAGATGGCTTAGATGGACGTTTCACCTACCAGTGAATCTCAGTCTTTTAAAGGGGCTCTTAACAATTCCTCCCCCAGATACCTTGTCCCCAGAGGAGAGATTACCTTTATTGTCCTGGTCAGGAAACAAATACGGTCTCTGTTCCAGAGGGAGACGCTATCTCAGATATTCTTGAAAAGATAGTCTGGGACAAAAACTGTAATAAGAGGTACTGAAATGACAGGGAGAATTTCTTCCCAACAAGAAGTAGGCGTGGATCCCAACACACCTTCTAACCTTGGCTGTCCTCCAATTCTCCACCCACAAAACCAGTAACAATCAAGACCTTTCTGGCATCCCATACAAGCTGGTTTTTCCTTTATAAATTTGGAGTTACGGTTCACTTCTAATGTGAATGATGTGAATGATTTAAAGTGTCAGGGGGAATCCAAAAGTTTTTAGGGTGGAATATTCAATTTAAATGAGGCCTGATCTTAGACTTTTCATTTAAGAGAGAACGAGAAAAATGGCTGTTGTAAATTATCTACCAAACACATTTTATCTTAGTTACTCAGAGAAGAGAAATTTGAAATGCAGGGAACCTGATAAATCATGCTTTCCAAGTCTGAGTGTGTGGGAGGGATGGTGGTATCTAAAGAGAGGGTCCTAGTTCTGGGTCATGGGGGTTTTGTGTATATGATGTAGATGAATCTGAGTGGTGGGAGGCTTCTTATGAAGCCATCTTTTGTAATCAATAAATTCTTTTTCTCTTCCTTTGGAGCCACTTGCCTGGTTTTCCTACCTTTGAGAAGCTAGTTATCCGCTTTTAAAGAACGAATGCTTGTTGATGCCAAAGTAATGTCACTGGTTTTTTTGTTTTTTTTTTTTTAAAGATTTTATTTATTTGATAGAGAGAGACAGTGAGAGAGGGAACACAGCAGGGGGAGTGGGAGAGGGAGAAGCAGGCTTCCTGCCGAGCAAGGAGCCCGATGCAGGGCTCGATCCCAGGACCCTGGGATCATGACCTGAGCCGAAGGCAGACGCTTAACCGACTGAGCCACCCAGGCGCCCCTGTCATTGTTTTTCTAATAGCAGTAGATGTTTTCTGTTCCAAAATGTCCTGTATGATCTGAGCCCTGGTCACCTCTCCAACTTCATCTCTACCTCACTCACTTATTTCAAGCCGACACCCGGGATCCCTCGTTCCTCGTGCACAACAAATGCGATACCACATCAGGGCTTTTGATTTGCTGCTCTTCTTGCAGATATTTATGTGTCTTGCTCAGTCTTTGCCTAACCTCGCATCATCAGAGAACTCCTCTCTGATTATTTTATCTCGAAAAGTAAGCACTTCTCCCTGACTTCATCTGTACCCTCTTACCTGGCTTTTTCTTCATTGGCATTTATCACCATCTGGCATTAGATATTCATTTGATTATTCCTACCCCAAACCCCTCACTACCATGTGATCTCCATGAGGGCTATCCCTAGCATCTAGAACCATTTCTGCCACACAAAACAGTTTATTTTTAAGTAGACTTATTCATCGATCAATGAATAATTTGGGGGGATGTTTGGCAACTTTCCAGATAATTTTTAAGACAAGGCTGTCTTTTTTCCTTTTTTTTTCAAATGTAGGAATAAAGTCTTTTGGTCTCATTCCCTGGCTTCTTGCCTTTCTCTCCCTTGCTGCAAAAGAAAAGTTGAGGCATCCTAGGAGTTCCCTGGACACATCCCAAGGATTTGGCTGGCTGTGATTCTGAGAGTACTTCTAATACTGTGTCTCTCAGCTAAAACCTGCTGCCTCTAACTGCCTGAGGAAGACGAGGATCTTCAGCACTTTTCACACCTTCCTCCTCGGGACAGCACATTGTAGCAGAATAACTGGGGCGGTGGGGGGGGGGTGCCGGCGGGGGGGAGCAGCGGGGATCTTCCTAAATGTGCAAGCTCTAGTCATCATATTTCCTAAAGCCAAATGCACAACCACAAGTGTTCTCTCCACACCCCTCTGTCAGCAAACTGCCTTCCATTTGTGCTGGTGTCCAGCTTTTTCTGAAAAGTGGTCACTTTTATTTCAGGCAAAAAAAAAAAAAAAAAACGGTAGCCATGAAATACTGTTTTCTGTCAGAATAAATGGAATAAAAGACCTGAAAATACCCTGTCCTCCTAGGAATTAGCATGTCTCTCTCTGCCCATCAGGACTCCAGCAAACACACACCTCAAAGGACAACTAGTTTACTGCTAAAACTAACTGCTTAGCAACCAGTTATAAAGAAGACATTTGGCATTGATATGATCTCATTTTTTTAATATTCACTGACTTCGTGTTCTGAGGGTTTTCCTCTGGGACATGCCACCTTCCACATGTGGTTGGGGATCTTTGTTTCCACACCCTTCCTTTGGTGCAGTTGTTACTCTGAATACTAAGGTGACAACAGTGACAATAGCGACTCCTGAACTTGGTCATGGGTGTGGGGCTCCTCTTGATCAGCCCCCCTTACCCTTACCCCGTGTTTCATCCCCCTGTGTGAGAATGTCATGCATGAGACTTGAATCACAACCGTGAACTCTGCTTTCACTTCCAAGTGCACTATATGTTTGCATTGGTGCCTGCGAATCACAGCCTTTGGTACTTTAGATACATTAAGTGATGATCTGCTGATTTGTTTCTGGTACTGGAGGGAATGCAGAAGAAGAGCAACTGAAGTGATGAAGGGCCAGAGAGACTCGCCTGGGAGGAAAAACAAGAACCAGATGTTTTGGTATTGGTTGAATGATCTAAGAAGACGATGGGAAGCACTTCTGAGCAATTGAGCTGAGAGAATGTCGAGATGGGGAGAAGAAAGACTGGCAGCTTTAGAGGAAGACAGGAGTTTGGGTTTGGTACTGGGCTGTGGAAACACTCAGAAAGTATCATATAACTCTTCATTTAAGACCCTGGAAACAGATCATAAAGGAGCATATTTCAGCTTTTCTTCACCGGATTTTAGCTTAAATTGCAAGCAGATGTATGTTGAGTTACTGGAGAGAGCTGGGTTTCGCTAGAAAGTGTGGCAGTTAGCTCTCAGCATCCTGCCCTAAACCCTACAGATCCCTGGGCTTCCTCCAGCTTTCTTAAGTTAACATTTATGGAGGGTAGCTCAGGGAATATCTGCTTTGTAACAAGCACACTAGGTTATTCTTAGATACTCAAAGTTGGGAACCACTGGTTATAGTAAGAGCTAACATTTATTTGTGTAGCATTTACTGTCTGAAATATTTGATCATTGCAACCTCCTCACAGCCCAAGAATTAGGTATTTTTATTGCTACAGTTTTACAGATAAGGAAACTGAGGCACAGAGAGGTTAAGTTACTTGCGCAGCTGATGCAGCTAAGAAGCATCAGAGCCAGGATTGCCCCTCACCTGACAGCCTGGCTCCTGACTGTGCTCTTAATCACCATGCTGGGCAGCCTCTCTGAGGACAGTTACCTTTGAAATCCCATTGGCCTCATGGGCTGCATCAGCCAGGGGAAATGGTTTATAATGCACTTTTATCAAAAGTGAAACTACTCAGCCATCAGAAAGGATGAATACCCAGCTTTTACATCAACATGGATGGGACTGGAGATTATGCTAAGTGAAATAAGTCAAGTAGAGAAAGTCAATTATCATATGGTTTCACTTATTTGTGGAACATAAGGAATAGCATGGAGGACATTAGGAGAAGGAAGGGAAAAATGAAGGGGGGGAAATAGGAGGGGGAGATGAACCATGAGAGACTATGGACTCTGAGAAACAGGGTTCTAGAGGGGAGGGGGTGGGGGGATGGGTTAGCCTGGTGATGGGTATTAAGGGGGGCACGTACTGCATGGAGCACTGGGTGTTATAAGCAAACAATGAATCATGGAACACTACATCAAAAACTAATGATGTATTGTATGGTGACTAACATAATATAATAAAATTAAATTAAATTTAAAACAACAACAACAACAACAAAAAAGAAACAAAAGAAATAAATAGTTTTTATGGTTTTAATCCCCCCAAAAAAGTGAAATTATCTTTCCTTTTTGTTTTTAAACAGAGGTGAATGAGTGTTTTAAAGCCCCATGTGTGCATGTGAAATGTGCATGAACAGGTAGGAGTTGAAAACTAGATTTATCCTCTCGTAACTTAGTCACAGGGCTCATCTTTTTATTTTGACAGTTAAAAACCGAAAGAGATTTAATTTTGAAAAGCGGCTTCTTCATTCAAAATAGCAAGAGGCTTTCATGAACATTTTTATTGCTCTTCAAAAAATTAGGTTGAGATCTGAGATTGCC